CAGCCCTGCCTTGTGCAGATGTGGCTCTGGGGAGCACTGACATTTAACCCTGCCTTTTGCAGGTGGCTCTGGAGAGCACTGACTTTCAGCCCTGCCTTGTGCGGATGTGGCTCTGAGGAGCACTGACATTCAGCCCTGCCTTATGCAGATGTGGCTCTGGGGAACATTGACATTCAAGTTGGCTTCAGTGCATGGAGTGAAGGTCTTAGTATCTGCCTCTGGTTTCTTTCTGTTTCTGTAACAAAGTACCCCAGCAGATGCAACAGCCCAAGCCATCTATTCATCAACATAAAGTTGGGCATGGTGCTAGGGTACTATCAGGACCTGCGGCTGTCAAAGACAATATTCCTGAGAACTTATGCCTGGTGATAGACATGAGAGATAGAGCTATAAGACATTAAACCTAGAGCACACATCAGGGTCCCTCTCTCAGCCTTGGGAACCTGGAGCAGGCAGAGTCCCGGAAGCCCCAGCCCTGCCCCAGTCAAACGCTGCCTCCACACCCTCACTCCTGTGTCCCAGGGTGATAAACTCTCTAACCAGTGTGTTCCCTTAATCAAAGCTGCATGACACGTTAGTGAGCTTTGCTTTTCCCAAGGACTGTATTTGCTTCTAGAACAAGGCATTTGTGGAAGCTCAACTGAATAACCCTAATTGTTGTATTTCCATGACCTCAGCTAGAGAGAGAGGCGGAGGCAGAGACAAGCAGAGAGGAGAGAGAGAAGGGGAGAGAAAAGACACTTTGTCTCCTCAGAAAATAATACTGCCTATTCATGGAAGAACAACTTCAAATCTCTAAAATGAGTAATCTATAGTTTATTTCTCGTTTGCTTATACACAAATTTCGTTTCATTCTCACATTGGAGAATTCTCACTAAATTGATCATGACTTCTTTTCTTAATATTGCTCTAAATACAAATGTATAAACTCCTTCAGGGGTATGAGATGACTTAGCAGCTAAAGGCACTTGCTACCAAGTCTGATGTCTCGAGCTCGATCCCCAGGACCCACATGGTGAAAAGAAAGAATCAATTCCTACAAATTGTACTCAATCTCTAGACACACACCATGGCACAAGCCCTACTCCACCTGAAAATATAAACAAATGTACAAAAGAAAAAGTTAACTCAGCATTTTTTTCTAGCTGAACCCAATATCTCAAGCATACTAGACAAGCGCTCTCTCTCAGACTGACCTTTTCTCACAGGCTTTAGGTTATATGTTGATTCTAAGGCAAAGGCAATATGCATAAGTAATCATTTTGCCCTTACAAAGGCAGGTTGGTAGCTGGACAGTTGCCTCAACTAGCCTTGAGAGCAGCGATGTGACTGGTAAACCTCATCACGTGGCTAGTTTCAAGACAGACTGGAAATGCAGATTTTCTTGAAGAGTTGGTAAATTACTGCCCTTAATAATTAAGTAGTAAGTTGT